TTATGCTTATTATGTGCCCTTTTAAAATACCAAGAAAAGCCAGCTGCCAGCTGGGGTGCTTTCCAAAGATATTGAACAAGCATCAGGACTCTATTCTCCCATGAGGCTTACATAGGTCTGCTCTTAACATTCTAAATGGATGTGAGTAGCTATCTCTAGTTTAGTAAATAATACTTAAAACTGGGCCAAATATCAATCGAGCTTCAAATTCTGTATTATTTTCTAATAAAGAGGATTTAGCACAAAATATACATAAGGCAATACATCCTAATTGGCTTAATGGCTCCTCTAAGACATATATCCCTGTAAGGATAGAGTAATTGCTCTAAGAAAGTACACTGAGAAGGACCCTGAACACGTACATAAGCTATAAGTCACTATAATCCCCACTCTGTGAAACAGGAGCCATCTTGGTCATATCTGAGGATTCTCCAATAGCTGCGGTTCTTGACTCCAAAGCTGCAGGGCTCAATCAGCACATACAGCACTTTTATGGAACACCCGGGCTCAGCTCTGAACTTAAGGCACTTCTGAGGGCAGAGAGGCGAGAGAATGCACCCCTGGCATGCATTTGCTGAGTCCCCTTGAATTTAATTCCACAGGGTGAGAGCCTCTGATGAAATTCCTAACGTAGATACAAAAGCACCATTTCCCACCCATCTGGGAAAGTAAGGGTATTTGTTCTTCTGTAGAGCTGAAAAGAAGTTTTGGCCCAGAGCCTGGCATCTTGCTTAGTAGGCAGAGCAAACTTTCTGTTCAGATAAGTAGGGGGGAAAATCCCAATTCGCAGCGACAGGCTTCTTTGACAGTGGTGACACATGAGCCTCAGGGTCAACCCAGTGGGTGTTTTAGCAGGAGGCAAGTGAGGGCATGGGCTCTGGAGTCAGGCTTGGCTTTGACTTTCAGCTCCAAAATTTACTAAGGAGATGACTCACCATATGATCATCTTTAAACTGTTTCCTCCCTTGTGAAACGGAGGTTCAAGGTGGCACTGGATAAAAATAATGTCTTTCACCTTCACATCAACTGATGAAGTCAAATGTCTGACTCTGTGATAGGTACACAAATATTTGTTCACGTCCTACCACCCTCTCCTCACTTTCTCCTGTCTTCTCAGCTTTGCTTCTGATCAGGAGGGTTGCAGGTGACATCATGTGACATGGAGAGAGGAGCTATGGTGTGGCCAGTTCCGGCCTGAGGCATCTGGGGTCAGGAAAACCCCTCCCCATCCCTGCCAACCTTCCTCACTGCCTCTAATAATATTCTTATCCTATTTAAACGTTGGGAAGCAATGAATTTCAGTAACTACAAGAACAGATTTAAAAGGGGAAGGAATCCACAAAATGGAAAAAGGCCAGCCTAAGGATGCGGGAGTAGGAAGAGAATGGGGCTGTGGATTTTCTTTGCTCCTGCTGACAGGAGTAGGTGCTCACAGGAATACGGAATGTTAGTGCTACAGCTCTTCCCTCCTCCATCTCTTTCTCCCTTGACCTCTTTCTCTGTATCAAGTATTCATAGGCACAACTCTTAGTACAATAGATTGCCAACTTGCTAGTATTGTGTGCACAAAGATAAAAAAAAATCAATCTGAAATCCACACAGCAGAAGTAAAGGTATATACAATGATGCGACATCACAGTGTGTACTAAGAGTTAATGCTAGGAATGACGGAACTCACAAGAGAAAGTAATGCCTCCTCTGTGAATTGATCAGAGTCCCCGAAGATAATTAAATTGTGCATTTCAAATTAAAGAGGACTTAGTTGGGGTCTGCAGACAAAAAGGACAGGCTCCAATGAAGTCATCATAACCCTGAAAGATGTATGCTTGGAGGTCAGTTCCTGAACACTCTTAGCTTTGATTTCCACACGAGTAAGTTAGGACTGACTTGCCCAAGGTCACAGAGGTTAATTTCTATGTGGCAACGAGCCAGACCTTCCCCCAAATCCAGTCTTTTCACGACCCCACGGCTATAACTACAGGTAAGGTCCAGACAGGACACCTGTCGTGCGGACTTCAGTCTACTTAGTTCACCTGTCACTCCAGCCACATGTAACAGTCAGTTCTGTGATGGTTTTAACCAGGTGGCTACAGAGGCAGTCCCTGGCACTTCGCCTTGATACTGCGCCACTGCCCCAAGAGTTCTGAAGCAGAGAGTGACAGTGCCACAGGAATCCTCTCGGCAGCACCCCGCCACAGCACATGCACACAGAACCCAGAACAGAGGAGGTAGTATCCACGGGGGTAACATCCAGGGCTGGAGAGGATGAACAAATGCTCCCACTCCTTGCCCTTGTTGAATGGTTCTGAAACACATTTCCCAATTCCCACAGGATTGAGCAGAGTTTTCAATGGTGGGGATTCAATCAATAACACATCCGTGTTGACCTTCCTTCTGTCATTTCTCATGTCACTCCCCGTGAGTCACAGTCCTCCTCATGGGTACCACAAGACTGCCCACACCAGCCTTTTGCCAAAATAAAGAGTTATGCATGACTCAAGCCTGAGAAAAACTGTCTTTATATAATTATCTCACAGAGTGTATATTTCTAGTCTTAGAACACGCTTGCATTTCTAACTACCACACAGGTATTGGTACTCTTGAAAACTCTTGGAATTCCACATTCCACTGGTCAGAAGTACAGTATCATCCTTTTGCCGTGAAAACTAGCCTCTCCGGACCTTAATTTTAGTAAAGCACCACTTTTCTCCTTAATTTCATAATGTTGAGTCCTCCCACAACTGTTCATTCCTCAAGAATGTTCAGCTGTTGTGTTTTCTAATTCCTATCATCACTACATTGTTGGGGACTATAATTGAAACTCTGTTCACAACCTCCATGTCACCATCTTACCAGATTAACAGACTTTCTCCATTCCCTCTGTAAAATATACTCTTAGTTCAGGTTCCCTGGAAGCAGAGCCAGAAATGGCGATTAGCATGCAGGGGTATCATTGAGGGTGAGCTTTTGGAAGAAAACTGTAAGGAATCAAGGAAGTAGGACAGAAAAAGGGAAGAAGCCAAGCAAAAAACGAGCTTGGCTGATGTCTCGTCTCTACCTCATAGCACAAGAGCAATGGAGCCTGAGTGGCCCCACAGACTTGCTCACCCTTGCCGCAAGGGGCCAGCTCTTTGTGTCCTTAAACCATTCTGTCATTGGCCATGGGACACCCTCAGGGAAACGTCAGCTTCCCAGGCATCTCTGGACAAAGGTAAGTCTCTGGAGAGGAGCGCATGCAAAAGTCATTAGCAGCCAGCACTCACAGCAGCTGGAATTTGGGTATATGTGCCTAGAAAAGGGCATCTGGGCAGGACATCAATAGGCCCTACTGTTGACACTGATCCCTGTCCCTTGACATAGCTAGCAGTCTACAAGGCACAGGAAGGGCATAGAAACACCATAGGTTATTGAAAAGGAGGGAATTTATTATCTTACAGAAAATTGGCCACATGGGTCATAGCTGGGAAGCAATAGGGGTGAGTGAGGCAATCCAGAAATTAGCAGTAACAAGAAGTTGCTATCAGCCATAAGGCTGGAGGGACAACAAAAGAAAGTACTGCTGACAGTCAGAGCTGTCTCAGGGGAGTTAGAGCTGCTAAGAGAATGCAGAAGAGTGGCAGCCCCTGCCAGAGCACCTCAGGAAGTAAGGCTGGTGAGCAGGGGCAAGGGAACGTGGTTTCTCCTCTCCCCTCCCCTCCAGCCCTCCCGTTTTCTGCCTGTGCCTGCCGTTGGCTGGACATACATAGAAACCGGGGAAGGGCAGTCTGGGAAATGTGGTTCCTTGCAATGTGGCACAGAGCAGAGTAGGGAAGGGCGGAAAGGAGAACAAGAACTGATAAGCAGGCACGGACCCATCACTGCAGTACATCTGCACACTTCTGTTCATGCCAAGTGAGTTATATGCTAACCGAAACAGCTGTGTTTTGTCCATTTTCTCTGCTATTATGGAGAGTAGACTAGTTTGGGGACATAGACATCTCTTTAGATTAAAATAGAAGTAATCAAATCTATGTCAGGCCCTAGTTACTGCAATCAAATGTGTATATACCATGTGTGGTTTCTCTAGCTCCGTTTCTAGTTCTCAACTGTGGAAAAGACCAACCTTGAAAGCTATACTTCTTTCTCGTGCCGGATACCCAACCTTAAATCTAGAAAAAGGGATAAGCTTTTTCTAGAGCTTGGCTCTAGGAAAGTTGGAGGATTTTTGAAGGTAGTATCAAGAATCCAATACCATTCCATCCATAATTTTGGCACAGGCTGGTTTGCCAGGATGCTCCTTTCACTTGAATTTCTATTTTCTCCTCCTTATATCTGGGTAAATAATACTTAATGTTTGATATTACTAGATGTTTTCAAAATGTTAGCCATCACTTTAAATATTTCACCGTGCACTAAATAACATAATTACGTATTAAACATGGGTCCAAATTTAGTTGGCATGTTTACATGTGTCTTTAATTATTATTTGCCAACTTGTGTCAGTATTTGGGATTTCACAAGAGGCAGTTTAGACAAAGGCCATCCCAAGGGGCTTAACACAATGATTACAGGCTTGTTAGAAAACACAGAAAGACAAGCTTCCCAGGTGTTGTTCTCTACCACTTGCAAATCACACTGCTGGGAAAAAAAACTACAAGTTTGTTATGAGTAGAACAATTTCCCAAGTAAATATACTACATACAGACATATGCCCCCACTTACACTTGGTAAAGTGAGACACAACTGATTTCTGTTAATGTTCTTAATTCTATATTTCTTTGAAACAACTTGGAAGGTCTACAAGTTATAAACCTCTACCAAATTTATAATGCATTTTGGTGAATGGTAAAAGCTTATGCAAGAAATAGTATTTTTGTGTAGGAATATCTGCATACATTTGACAAAACTTCATTTGTGCTAAAGATGACGGACGACTGGATATGTTTTTTAAATGTTGTATTAAAAATTTTCTGTTCAAGGTATTTGTACACGGAGTCAAATATAATATACCGAGTACTCACATCTTCCCAAAATCCAATTCTCAATGGTCTCTCAAACTTTCCAATCAGCCTTGAGATGCACCAGAAGGGCATCCAGTTCTGTATGTGCTGAGATGAGAAATCAAATCCATAATCATAACAAACAAGCAAATTTATTCTCACTGCCAATGTGGATGTGGGATGCAGTTCATTTTCAGTGATTAATGACTTGTGAGAATCAGAATTCAGATCATTATGCAATGAACATTTCTCTTGATAATCCAAATGAATTACTCTGACTTGCCAAGAAATTTCAAAAAAATTAACAATTAAACCAGCTGATTTTTCCAATAAGAGGGGGAACAATATGTCATTAACCTCTACAGAATATGATGGATGAAAATAACACAAATATATTAACAGATACTTTTGAAAATTTTTGAATTCTTTGGATATTTCTCCCCTGAAGGTAATACGTAAAATGTCTAATTGCTTTTTATTCATGTAAGACTTGTTTTTCCTATAAATATCAAAACTGGGACTAAAATAACATCTTTTATTAATTTAGCCTAAAATTTATCTCTAGAAAAATATTTTTTCTCTGATCTAGATAAATGTATGTGGTATAAGAATACAGATTTGGGAAGTCATGAGGAGGAGAAGGAAAGTTCTAATTTTTAAAAAGTAGGGGTATGTCAAAAGGACACAGGTACCAACTTCAAAGAGCCCGTAACGACTGAAGCTGGAAAATTTAAGTAGCAAAATAAATTATTATATTGGATTATAACCCAAAGAATAAAAAATCCATGTAATAGAAATATTCCACTAATATGCATAAATGGTTAAATACATAACGTTTTGCCATACCAAATAATTTCAAATAATATATATACACATAATACCCTCCTCCGAGAGGTGAGGCAGCTTAACTCCCCTCCCCTTGAGTGTGGGCTGCATTTAGTCATTTAGTTCCAACAACTAGAGCATGGGGAAAAAATAGTAACTTTATAATGGAAAGCCCTGACAGACATTACTTTAACCTTGTGATTGAGATTAGCATTATCAATAAGTCATGTTGCTATCATATAGTCCTACATGTGATAAGGGCACTACACTATGTAGAACTCTGCTACAAAACCCACAACCCCAGTCTTATGAGAGAAACATAAGACAAAACCAAATTAAAGACAGTCAACAAAACCAAATTAAAGACGGTCTACAGATTACCTGACCATTAGATCTCAAAACTGTCAAGGTCACAAAAAAACAAAAAAGGAGAAACTTGCAGTTTAGAAAAGACTAAGAAGACTAACTACTACCAAAGCTATCCTAAGCAAAAAGAATAAAACTGGAGGAATCATGTTACCTGACTTCAAATTATACTATAGAGCTATAATAGCCAAAACAGTATGCTACTTGCATAAAAACAGACACATAGACCAGTGGAACAGAATAGAGAACTGAGAAACAAATCCATACATATACAGTAAATTCATTTTCAACAAAGGTACCAAGAACATTCACTGGGGAAAAGATAATCTCTTCAAAGTAAGGGGCTTGCAAAAGCAGATATCCATATGCAGAAGACTGAAACTAGAACCCTATCTCTTGCCATATACAAAAATCAAATAAGAGTGGACTAAAGACTTAAATCTAAGTCCTCAAACCATGAAATGACTACAGGAAACATTGGGGAAAATCTCCAGGACGCTGGTCTGGGCAAAAATTTCTGGAACAATACCCCATAAGCACAGGCAACCAAAGCTAACATGGACAAAAGAGATCATATCAAGTTAAAAAGCTTCTGCACGGCAAAGGAAGCAATCAACAACATGAAGAGACAACCCACAGAATGGGGGAAAATATTTGCAACCGGCACCTCTGACAAGGGATTCATCACCAGACTATATAAGGAACTCACTCTATAGGAAAAAATATCTAATAATCCAATCAAAAATGAGCAAAAGATTTGAATAGACATTTCTCAGAAGACGTGCAAATGGTACACAGGCACATGCAAAAGTGCTCAACATCATTCATCATCAGAGAAATGCAAATCAAAACTATAATGAGATATCATCTCAACCCAGTTAAAATGACTTCTATCCAAAAGACAGGCAATAACAAATGCTGGTGAGGATGTGGAGAAAAGGGAAACTTCATACCCTGTTGGTGGGAATGTAAATTAGTACAACACTATGAAGAAAAGGTTGGAGGTGCCTCAGAGAACTAAAACTTGAACTATTGTATGATCCAGCAATCTCACTGCTGGGTATATACCCCAAAGAAAGGAAATCAGTATATCAAACTGATATTTGCACTTCTATATTTGTTACATCATTGTTTATAAGAGCTAAGATTTGGAAGCAACTTGAGTGTCCATCAACAGATAAATGGATTTTTTAAAATGTGGTACATATACACAATGAAGTACTATTCAGCCATAAAAAAGAATGAGATCCAATCAGTTGCAATGACATGGATGGAGCTGGAGATCATGTTAAGTGAAATAAGCCAGGCACATAAATACCAACATCACATGTTCTCCCTCATTTGTGGGATCTAAAATTCAAAACCAATAAACTCATGGGCCTAGAGAGTAGAAGGATGGTTACCAGAGGCTGCGAAGAGTAGTGGTATTTACGGGGGAGGTGGGGATGGTTAATGGGCATAAAAAAATAGCAAGAATGAATAAGACCTATTATGTGACAGCACAATGGAGTGACTATAGTCAATAATTTAATTGTACATTTTAAAATAACTTAAAGAGTGTAATTGAAGTGTTTGTAACTCAACTGACAAATGCTTAATGGGATGGATACCCCATTCTCCATGATGTACTTATTTTACACTAAATGCCTGTATTAAAACATCCCAGGTACCTCATACATATATATACCTGTTATGTACCCACAAAAAATAAAAATATAAATATAAAAATAAAAGACCTAACTACTAAATGCATTGTGGTGTTCTGGATTGGATCCTAATACAAAAAGAAATTTACTGGAAAAACTGGTGACCCTCAAATAGAATCTATAGTTTAGTTAGTAGTATTATACCATGCAAATTTCCTAAGTTTTGACAAATGAACCAGGTATATAAGATGTTAACATGTGTGTACTTATGCAACGATCTTGCATGTTCTTCATATGTACCCCAAAACATAAAATGCAATAAAAAAATAAAATTAAATTTAAAAAGATGTTAACATGGGGAAGCTAGGTAAAAGTTAAGAAGACACTTAGCATATCTTCACAACTTTTCTGTAACTCTAAACTTATTCTAAAATAAAAGTGGTTTATTACCCAGAACCAAATTTAAAAACACAACATATAAAAAGAGGTAGAATGCAATAAAAGCAGTCTTAAGGAGAATTTAGTCACAAACATTTGTATTAGAAAGGAATAAAGGTTAAAAATATATTAAACAAGTATAAAACCTAAGTCATATTTTTTTATTGCATTTTAGGTTTTGGGGTACATGTGAAGAACATGCAAGATTGTTGCATAGGTGCATAGGTACACACATGGCAGTGTGGTTTGCTGCCTTCCGTCCCCTCACCTGTATCTGTCATTTCTTAAAAAGGGCCAGGCAGGGTGTAATCCCAGCACTTTGTGAGGGTGTAATCCCAGCACTTTTGGAGGCTGAGGTGGGTGGATTACCTGAAGTCAGGAGTTCGAGACCAGCCTGGCCAACATGGTGAAATCCTGTCTCTACTAAAAACACAGAACTTAGCTGAGCATGGTGGTGGGTGCCTGTAATCCCAGCTACTTGAGAGGCTAAGGCAGGATTATTGTTTGAACCCAGGAGGCGGAGGTTGCAGTGAGTTGAGAGTGCGCCACTGCACTCCAGCCTGGGTGACAGAGGGAGACTGTGTCTCAAAAAAAAAAAAAAAAAAAAAAGTAAAGAAAGAAACAAAGATAAAAAGAAATTTTAAAAGTAGCAGGAATATATAATAGTGGAAATAAAATAGAAAAAATATAAATATATGTGTATACAATGGAAAAGGGTAAAGTCAAAAATTGATTAATAAGACTAAAACAGACACACTTCTAGCAAAATTAAATGAGAAAATGTAGTATAATGTAAAAGTTGGCATAACTACAGATAAAGCAGAAATGTGAAAAGATAATATTAACAGCAAGATTCTGCCAATGGATTCAAAAACAGTTTTCTAAGAATCTTTCTTTAACTGACACACACACAAAATAGAAGTCTTAAAGAGTCCTATAATTATTAAAGAAATTGGAGAGCAGTTTAAAACCTTCACACACACATACACACACACACACACACATGCACACACACGCACACACACACATACACACACACGCATACACACACACACACACACACACACACACACGCACACACACACAGAGGGAGAGAGGGGTAGAACTCAAGCAGGCCCAGATGGTCTTCCAGACAAATTCTGCTAAACTTCAAGGACAATATTATTTAAGCCCAAGCAAAGACTGTATGAGGACAGAGATAATCTGTTTCACTAAGGAAAAGAGATCTAAAAACCTGGACGAAATGTTGTGAACCAAATCTAACAATGTTAAAACAGACAATGTATTATGACAGTGCTGATCATGTCCTCCAAGAAGCAGACACCAAAATGGGACATGATGTTCAAGGGATATCAGTGAGAAAATTCCTGTGAAGGGTAAAGGGGGAAATCAGAAGTCAGGAGAACTTTCCAACTGTGAAGTTAAAGGAGAGGGGAAGGGCAGAAATGGGGTGAAACAAACGCCAGGCTGCAGCAGTTCTGAGAAAGTTTTGTTAGATCACTGGGGAGCCCTGGCACCAAAGTCATCCATTAGCGGAGTCCCTCGTTACCCTTGCCACTGTGCTCCATCACTGAGGGATGAATAATCAGTAGAGCAACAACTGATATCAGTCATGGCCATGACACAAAGGTGGTGATGGATCCAGAGAGCAGCACCTGGGGCTTCAATTGCCCACACTCCTTGCAGCAGATGTGAGCTCACATTTTCATGGCTGCCACAGTGCCCAAGTTGGGTTTTCTCCAGGAATCCAAAGAAGATTTAGCATTAGAGGATTTATAAATGTTATTTATCACATGTACCAGACCCAAGTCTTGTGTGACTCAGACTCTCTTG